AAATAGAGTTAGTGCTTGTTATTTTTCACTGTTTCATTAAATCAAGATGGGCAAAAGAAAGGCAAAAAAGAAAAGAGTACAATTGCAAGTGAAAACAACTTGTATCCATGGTGGTTTGAGTGATTACATTGAATATCTTATTGCACAATGTACTGAGTTTGCTATATCATGTAAATCTTTAAGTTTCAGCAAGTACGATCGTCAGGGGGATCCATGACTTATAGCACTAACTTTTATTCATATTAAGTAAACATATTAAGGGAAAGTACACACAGACCTGCATGATGGTTTGCTCTTCTTTCTTGATAGAGTCCATGATGGGCCTTATTATAGGGTTCAGTTTAATGGGAAGTTTATTCAAGAAGATCAGTGTGCTCGCAACACTTGCCTGTACTCTGTAAAAAAGTTAATGAGAGCAAAACAACTTAAAAAAAAGCAACATTTCTTTATTTTGTAAGACACCAAATCAGAGAATAAGCTCTATGTGAATGGATGGGGAAAACATACAAACAATTTTTCCTTAATTTTCATGCATTAAAAACTCACTTTATTTTAAACACTTATGCACTAGTTAATCATGGAATTAAGTTTTAGCAATTTCAAAGCCTGCCTAACTTACACTTTTACAAAATACTCAACTTAGAAGAAATAACTCTACGTTTTCATGCACAAGTTTTCCAACTCCAAGGAACAAAGGAGAGGAGCAAAGTTCCACACAATTAAACTGGCATAGACTATTCTACCATTATCCTCATATCAAAAGTGAAGCTGAACAAATCAGCTACCATTGATAGCAGGTGCAAACAAAACATACCTAATATGTAGCTTTTGGTATTCTGATTGTAATTGTCCTATGGTTGCCATTAAATGCCTTCTCTTTATCTCTGCACCCTAAATATAAATTGTGTAATGCTATGTGAAAAGAAAAGCATTGCCTTAAAAACACAAGGCATAGAAGACTCTGAAACCTGGCTGATCCTTGATAACAGGATTAAAATGTCAGTGGCTTCTGAGCATTGAAAAATGAGTGGAAAAAATTGCCAAGTCCATGGAGAAATCATTCTACCCCAACAACCCCAACAACCACAACAGGTCTCTCTCAAGCACCATAAAAATTGTATAATGTAACTTTGTGTAAAATGTACTTTGGGAGTGTTAGTAAAAAAAGTAAAAATAGTTTCAAAGGGCACAAACCTTGAGAGCTTGTGGTGAAATGTTTTTGGAAACTTCCATGAAGATATCTGAGGCTAGCTTAACAGCACTGTCAACAGTATAGCAGCTTAAGATTGAAAAAAAAGTTACTCATTATTGATCTCACCTTGAATGGATATTTAAAAGGCAAGCAGTAAAAAGCATATAAACAATTCCTGAATAAATATACCTTTACCTCTCACAACCTAGGCATTAATTATCCTTAAGATGAAAACTACTAGGTAACTTTCAACAGCTGCTGACAAATTATACATAGTACTTTACCATGGGAAAATTTTACCATGATAGCTCATTATGCATTGTCCTAAGCAAGAGAACTGTGCATATGTACGCTAAGATGTATCAATCTAAGTCAACTATTCCTTACCCTGGCTGGATACCAGCTGAGGCATTAATTCCTTTCTCTCGGAATGCATTTAACAAGCCCTGAGAAAAGAAAACATTAAATAAATACAATAATATAATCATACAAGTCATATTATTATACTAGTTTCTGATCATGTTCCCATTTAAATAAGTCAGCTGAGCTCCACACTAAAATTACACTGAAACTCCATGCATTTTGTAGAGAACTATTTACCCTCTTTGACCATTTCACTCCCAAGATCTGATTGTTAATTCTCCCCTCTAGCTGCTACACATTTCCTTTTAAATAAGTTACAAGAATTTGGTGTTAAATCAAGAAAACAACCTCTACCTGATAAGTTTAGGTATTCTCGTTATCTCTTTGCTAGATGATGAATGGATTTTAAAGGGAGAAGCTACATGTCAATCACTCCTAGGAGTTAAAGGTTTGAAATAATTATGTCCTACTTTAAATTGCATTGAAGAGAATAACACCAGTCTCTTGACTTCTTTTGGTGGTGTACAGTATATCTTGCGAGAAGCTCTCTGTTTCTCACCTGACAATCTGTTTGCAGTCTTGTGTTAAGCACAGCTATCTCATCATACACAATTTGTTCTGATAGAATATTGTTTAACTGTGCAATATTTTCCTCAGGACACTTGCATTCCTAATAATGCAGAACCACAAAAAACAAACAAATCACACACTTTCACAGCAAAGGTCATTTAGAATTGGACACTTAGTATTTTCTCATCATTGCTTCTTTTCACAGATTATTTAGAACACACATGATAATTCAGAGTCTACACGTACATATTGATGGCTGAAGAAGGATCAAATCCAAAGTGGAATCCAATAGTGTCAATTATTATAAGCCAATCCCCCCTTTTGGCCCACTTTTTCCATAACTGTGAATCCTCCAATTAGTGTCCAAGGAACTTAATTTTAAATACAGGAAATGACAGAGGATGCTTGTTACAAGGATACCCTTAATCAAGGTGGGCAAGGGAGGGAGGAAACAGCTGCAGTGTAAATTTGCAAGGTTAGATGAGAGTAATTTAAGTTCACCAACAACAATATGCCCATTGTTGTGACTCTGTACTTGTACATGGATGAGGGAGGAGAGCTGGGGAGGAGGCAATAAATCCAGGGAAAAGCTTAATATGAGTTTTATTTGATAGGGGAGGTGCCAATCAAAAGAAGGTGCTTGTGTTAAGGGAGGCACTACTACACAGTTCTATTGTACTTGCATCCTTTAATGTCATCAAACAGCCTGTTAAAAGGTATATGTATAAATGAAAGAAAAAACTTGAGAGAATCATGACCTCAAGACAGATTAAGTTACCGCTTGACAGCCAGCCCAATCTGCTAATGTTAATGATGCACACATCCTCTGAATCCCTGAGTTTGATGTGAGAGGAAACTGCAAAGTTTGCATCAGAAAACCAAGAGGAGGAAGTTCTACATCATCGCCAGCCGGACACCCAGTATAATGAGATGCTAATAGACCAATAGCTCTGTACAATTGACACAAGAAAGAGAGCAGTAATCACTCATTACTAGTAGTGTAAAACACAAAAACATAAACTAATAGGAATTATAAAGTACAACATCTGCACAGGCATATCTTATAGTTGCTACACATCATGCTCAACATGTACCTTGATGCTGCCAGTCGTGCTTGTAAAACTGCAAGGTCTCGCTGGACTAAGCCGGTGGCCAGTGTCACTCCTGCTATCATTTCAGATTGAGGTTCAGTCTGAGCCTGAAGTGGTCGGCCTCTTATCATGTGAGCTCTGTCCACATGACGGTCCCCCTGACATAGACACACAAAAAATCTTTTTTCATCAGGTGACTAAAATTCTATTTTTGTGACCCTTTCATGGTTTTAGGTTGCCCAAAAATGCAGCACAACAACCTTGCTAGGCTTTGTACCCAGAGCTAGTGACTAGGATTCCAATCTCTACAACTGATTATGCCATCATTTACTTCACACGCTCAAGTCAACCTAAATCAAACAAAGTGATCTTCATTCAGAGAACTTCATAATAGACCTTGCTCACCATAGAGTCTCTGTGGCCCAGTGATAGAGCAACAGAGTGTGGATTCCGAAGGTCTGAGGTTCGATTCCTTATGGGAACTCACATTTTCTTCATTGACCCACACTTGTGACAAGACAAAAACATCTTTCTCCATTTCTTTACCAAACTCAAAACTGATCATCTCTTTTATTCTATTTACAAACTTGACACTATTGACATTGCTGATCCTAGCAGTATGCTGGAAGCATGTCATATGAACTTTGTAATAGACCTCGCTCACCATAGAGTCTCTGTGGCTCAGTGGTAGAGAAATGGAGCACAGAATCTGAAGGTCTGAGGTTCAATTCCTCATGGGTACTCAGGTTTTTTTCTTTTTCCCACACTCATGACAAGACAAAAAACATCTTTCTCTACTTCTTTAACAAGCTCAAAACTTACCATCTCTCTTACCATTCTATTTATAGTCCTAATTCATGTCAAGTACCTTATTCTGAGTCCTATGCAGAGCTTGCACAAGAGCAGTATGGTCAATAGGAGTGTAAGCCGGTATCATCATCATTCCAAGCCAACTGTTAAGGAATGGAATTGTAACTCTCCCAAGAAGACTTTTAGCTGATCTCTCAAGCATTACACTCCACACCTGGGAAAAAGGAGCTTTATTGTCATGACATTACACAGTTTTTAGCTTTTCATACCTTGAATCATATCTAACATCATTCAAGTTCTACAGTCAGATGGAAGAGGGCCTTACTTATGACTTTCCAAAAAAATTTTTGCAAAAAGAAACTAACAGAAACTACTTGCTACTACAATAATAAGAATCTTGAAAA